TAAATTTTTTGTAGAATTAATAAAAGTACAATCAAAATAACTTACCATGGACTTTTTTATTGTATATATATATATATATATATATTTAAACAAAATTTTTAGGTCATTACATCGAGCTTAAAATTTTGTTTTATTAATTGTAACAATATATTGTGTGATTAATTAAATTAAATACTTGTTTTTGACTTGAGAGAGTTTATTCAAATATTTTTAGAGTCCTAGGTTAGCATTTATTTTTATTAATTAGATTTTAATGTTATGAGATGCAAGGGGATAAACAATCTTAGGTTCCAAATCGTACTTGAAGTCTAAGAATCATTTGCTTTTTTTTATTTTCTAATTTTCATATATTTTTCAAAATCAACTTTGTCCTCTAATTGTGTTTTGCTTAACTTAATTCAATTTATATAGTATTTTGCTTGATCACTTTTTCTTAACACAAATCTTCATGTGAACAATACTTTACTTATATTTTGTTGCTTGCCAAGGCCCATGCGCTTATGTGGAAGAGTGCAACATAATTTAAGAGCGAACAAGTGTCGTTATAATTTCAAGTTATTAGACAATTTTTCTCTTATTGTCTTGATAAGGTGAAGATATATTAATTGTGTGTTTTACCTACCATCATGATATTGATTGTGATATTATTAGGGGCAAAATTGAAAAATTATGGTTGTTTTATGTACTTTCAACTAAATAACAAATTTTTATTAGTATGTGTGATATAAAAGCAAACAGTTGAAGAGTCAATTCCATTTTTTTTAACCATAGCAAAAGTGTTAAAGTAAGTTAGATTTCTTAGGAGCTTATCAAGGTCAAAGTATGGCCCTAAATTTAGAGTTTTTATAGAGTTCTTACTGATCAACTACTAACAAGATCTTCACATCAATAATGAAATTTAAACCTGTAACTTTGAGTTATGGGCAAATTAGAGTCCCAAACTAACTGGGCTAACCTTGTTAGTATTATTGGAGGTTCAATTCTTAATATCAGGGTATGAAGCAAATATAGTTAGAAGACAAATATATAAATATATATTCTATGCCCTTAATACTCAGAGAATATGGTTGGCGGAGGATTTTCTGTCTCATCTGAAAATTGAAGGAAAAACTAATCACATATTCTATACCTATCAATTATAAACGAAAATAAAGTTCATCTACCTAGAACAATTAAATGCTCAGAATTCAAGTCATTATGACATAAGAAAAATAATAGAATTTCAGAAAATTTAGTAGCGAGACTACCTAAACAAAAGAGTGCCGGAGATTTGGAAACTAATAAAATAGATAAAGAAATATTAATCATATACATCATACTATAACGAAGGTCGAATGAAGGATTCGAGAAGTTAGTTCATATGAATTATGAAGAGTAAAATGAGAGAAGAAAATAATGCAAGAAAGGCTATAGTACTTGCAAATGATTCCTGTACACACGTAAATTATAAAATTAAATCTCTCATTTGGATACACAAATATTTATGAACTTGTAATTCTTTTGTGACTTAAAATTTCCTCTACACCTTTGTCATTTGAAATTCTAATAACTTTCAATATATTTTTCTTTTTGCATTTATTGATACTTGCATGATTCGTATCTTTTTCATTTATTATCAATTAAAAAATAAAAATAAATTCATCATTTTTAATTTTCAATTTTATTTTGAATTTTAGTTCATCTCTCTTTTCATTTAAAAATTTTTAAACTACCCAGACAAAGAGTTTTAAATACATAAATTTTAAATGTAAGATTTTAAATCTATCAATCCAAACATTACTTAAAAGTTAAATCAAATAAATCCAAATTCATCAATACAAATACTACCTAAAAGTTAAATACATAAATTATTTCTCATAAGCTCATCAATGCAATGTATTTTGCAATTTTTTAGACATTAGTTTTAACTTTGTTCACTTTGTCTAAAATCGAATTCTGATAGCTCACAGTACCATGTTTAATTGTTGCCATAAGTGCTTAGCCCAGTAATATTATGTAGTTTTATGTCTTTGAATTGGATGTAACTCTTTTGGATCTTCTGTGTGTAATTGGTCCGGTCCACGTGACAATGTTCTTGCTGTATCCCGACAAACATTTGTTTCTGAAACAATCGAAGCCCTCTAACATTTTAATTAACATAAAAGAGAAAGCAGAAAATTAAAAATTTATGTATCATGTTTTTAACTAATTAAGAATAATCAAGTATAAATCATCAACAAATGATGGGATACACTGGTCCAGATGAAATGAATGATCCCAATCCATTAACAATAATGGAAATTGATATTATCTATATAATTACTGATCTTGTACGTTTTTTTGGGCAACTTGCTTCTTTTTCCTTATTTAATATGAATGGGTGGATGACAAATAAATCCTATCAAAATAGGCAAATGACAATTAAATATCATGAAATAGATAATTACTTTCAAATCCTTAGGGACTAATAAAAAAATAAAAAAAGTGTAATGGTTAAAACTTAACCTCAAGTTGTTAATATAAGAAGTATAGTAGCATTTAGTTATGTAATAATAAATATACTTCTTATATTAACAACTCTAATTTAGTGATCAACAACTTTAGTTTAGGTATTAATAACACAATTGATCATAATTAAATTCAGTTTATACAATGCAATAATAATTTTATGCTTTCTATATTAATAACTTTACATTCTCTATTAAGAGCTTTAGTTAAGGTTTTAACAAGTACACTTTCTATTATTTTGTAGAGGGTCAGGAATGTAATTTGTCAAAAAATTCTAACAAATACTTAGGTATTTCAGTGTAATTATCTTATTTCATGGTACTCTTTTATCATTTGTCTATTTTGAAGTGATTTATTTTTCACCCTCCCTTAATTTTTTTTTTTTTGTATAATTTGTCAAGCAGGATCAAATCCACGAGCTAATTAGTACCATCAAGGGTAAGCATCATGCCATTAGGTCAGAGGACCATTAACATATATTGAAGTTTAATTTTTAAGCTTCTAATTTTTATATTATATTATATTTTTTATTTATCAATATTTTTTATTTAGTCAAAAATATAATTAAAAAATATTGAAGATAAACATACAAAAATTGAATCTCTCTTTACAATTTGAACTCATCATCAAAGATTAACAAAGATATCAAATAAAGACAATCCAAGAAGTTCTGTTACGATGGTTATATTTAATTCATCAAAGGTAAACAGATATTTCTGTGTCCAAATTCCATTTATTTTGATCAGAACAGATCTACAAACCAAATAATTCAACACTAGGTACAATTGAGAGTTTTATCATCTAAAATTTACGGAGATATATTCAAGCTATCCACTATGTATGATATGAACCTTGAGAGAACTGCTTCCTGATATGATGGAACTTCATATATATGGAGTTGATGCTGTTTTGATTCTATCTTCCCTGCAGAAAACTTGATCTTCCTGCAGGAAAGAGCTATTGCTAAAGCAACTGTAATCTGTCATAGGAATCAAGTACTCAGTTGTAATTTTCTGAATGAACAACATAACAAGTGTTTGTGTGTGCGTTTTCGAGCTGAGTTTAGTCACCAGTTTAGGAGACATACCCCAGTTCCATTGCTTTGGTTGGTGGCTCACAAGATTGAGACTGTGGCTGGCTCAGCTGCAGATAGATTGGTGCATGTAACCCTTCACAAGTCTAATTAAAAAAAAAAAGATGACACTTCATTTAGTCTCCAAAGGAAAACTTCAAACACTTAACTTTTTCATGTTGATATGACTATCTGATCTGGTTAGATCATTCTAGTAAGATCAATACTAGTTGGTAAACATTTATGCTCTGTTTGGATAGGAAGAAAACTTGAGAGGAAAGAAAATGACAAGAAAGAAAATGGAGAGAAGAGAAAATTGAAGAAATAATATTATCACCCTTTTGTTTTGGATGAACAAGAGAACATAGGAAGGAAAGAAAATAGGCACATGACAAAATGACAACAGTACCCTTATATTAAAATATATGATATGTCTTAGGTTATTATCTTAAAATAAATTGAAGGAAAAAAAAAGAAAGACAATCTCAATATTTTAATATCAAATAACTTGCAAGATATATTTTTATTTAAAAATCAAAACAGACAAATTTTTAAAATAAAATATAATAACCCGTAAGAAATCAATTAACCTTACTGTGCTTATTTTTTTAAACAAAAATGGAGAGGATGATGGTCATGAAAGTGGAGATGAATATGTGTGTGATGTTGCTAGTTTAAAACAGTGTTAGGAAGAAAAGTTTACAACCAAGAAGATCAAGGAAAAAAAAAAGGAGGACAATATTGGAATAAGGGCTTTCTTCTCAAAATCTCTCCACATGTAAAGAAAAAATGTGAGGAAAAAGTGGTGGGACTCACTCTTTATTTTCTTCCCAACTTTTCCTTCCTTTCAATTTTCCCTTCTCAACCAAATAGGGAAAAATATGTTTTCTTTCCTGTTTTCTCCTCTAGTTTTCTTTTCTCCCATAATTTCTTCTCAACCAAACAGAAGGTCAACTTTTTGATAAATAGCGTAGGCACATAGGTGGTATTGTTATCTTTCCTCCTCTTTCTGGTGTAATTGAGGGCAAATGTTGTTGATTTTATAAGCATATGCGCTTGTGAGGCTGATAAGTTATATGAATGGAAAGATCAATATATAGCTAATTAATGTACATGATCTAATTTGATAAAATGTTTTTATTAGCTCAATTACCTTCTGTAATTCCGCATTTTCTTTGCTAATGACTTCTATCCTTTTATGGAGTTCTACATTTTCTTCACTGATTTGATATCCCTGCAAAAGAATCATTAAATTATAGTTAGAATTTGTGGGAATACGTTTCACACATGCACGGCAAGATCAACAGAAACAGAATTCTTGAATACCTCTTGTTGCAGTTCTTTGATTTTATCCTTCAAAACTTGTTCCTGAGGATAATTTAGTGATCAATTTAAATTCTTGTCCAGTAAAAATGAAGATATGAGTTGCATTTATCATTGATCAAACCTTTTTGATCCGAACGCTTTTTAAACTTATCCCCAGTTGATTTTCCAAACTTCGCAATTCGCTCAAGCCCAAACCGGATAGTTGTTCACCCATCAATTGCCTGCAAATTACGAAAAACTAAATGAGTTGCTTCTGGTATACCAAGTAGTTCAAGTTTCTTAAATTCAGAGGACATAAAAGGAAGAAGGAAGCAATTGCACTTGTAAAGAGATTTTATGATAGTTGAGTGAGTACAGAAGGATTAGTGTGTTGCGCTGTTCAAATATTGCACTTGTAATAACCTGTGGCTTTCTTGCAAGCGTTGCAGTTGCTGCCTCAAGACTGTTGCTTCTGTCTGCCAAAACTAGCAAATGGAAAAACAGATATCATAAAATATATATTTATATATATAGCTTCAAATATTATTTATGTCCAATGAAGAGTAATGCAATTGTGAGGAAGAAGGCATGAATTCTAAATATGAGTTCCTTCTAGCCATTGGATTTACAGTGCATTTATACATCGGCCAGATAATAAAAATAATTTCCAATTTTCTTTTAGTGGAGAAAATCACTGCCTTAATTTTCTTTACATGCACATAGGGAATTTCTCTTAGAAAATATCTTTTAAGAAATTAATAATGGAGTTTCTAATGGAAACCTAAATAGAGAGAAATTCCAGAAGAACAAAGAGGGAAAATTAGAGAGAATTTCTCTTGTTTTTTTTTTTTAATGTTCTCTCTCATAATTATTCCGAGAGAAATTTTCTATTTTGTTGTAGTGATTTTCCTTTTAATCCTTCACTCCCATGTATTGATCTCTCTTTCTGTAATGTAATCTTATTGCTTGGTGATATAATGAAAACGAAAAGCAACGGAAGTGGGAACTTTAATTTGAAGCACTGTAGTTGAGTGTACTATAGCATGCCATGAACATAATTATATGAAGAAAACCTCAAAAATATCATGATGAATTATGGTATTTGATCTTGTACCTTAACTTCTGAAACAGGATCTATAAGCTGAAAATGTTGTTCTTCGATTTGTTCATTGTAGCGGTCAATAATAGATTTCACACTGCAATAAGCAGAGAGGATTATTTAATCATTAAGATGAAAATGAATGCATGTCGTAGAATCTTTGCACGCATCATTGTTGTGAAAATTAAAAGAATAAATATTTATCATGAATTTTAAAGAGTAAACTTGACTTTTGAATACTGACCAATGCAGAGAACATTATTACAAGGTAAGCTCTCTCTCTCTCCCCCCCTCTTCCCACCTTCCCTCTCTCCTCTGTCCCTTTTCAGATATATGTGTTTAACTCTTATATTCGCATGCTATTTAGAACGTTTAGAGAGATTATTTGATAATTTTTCTGTTGATTCATCATATATTGAAGCAATAATAATGCACACGGGTAGTTTTTGAATGGATCATTATTGCCGTGTTTTCAGAATATACTCTTTTCCGTCCTTTTTATAAAACACTTGCAAGAAAAAAGTTTTGGGAGAATGATGAGTCCTAAAATAAGGAATTTATGACAGTTAGGTCCCCAATAAAATTTTCTGAAAAATCAACTGCAAATATTGATTTAGACATTTTTAAATTTAAAAGTTTCAATTACAACTAAGATATTTAAATTTCAAATATAAATTTTAGTATATGCAATTGCAATTCCTATTTGCAGCTATCTGAATCAATATTTGCAATTTATTTTTTCAGAAAATTTTGTTTGAAACCTAACTATCATCAATCATTGTTTCCGACTTCACTGTTATTCTCCCAAATTCTCTCCTTTTTACAAGACACATATGAGATAATCATTACTCCTTCGATTTTATTAATAGGACAGAGACAAAGAGTATTTGTTTTGCTCTTATTTATAGGGCAACTCTATGTTTTTTTAACTCTATCTTTATCCTTTTTTACCTATTAAATACTGGAAAAATTATTAAATATTGAAGTATTTTATTTTAATATATAGTTAATAGGGCTAACATTAGAAACATACTAATTTTTAGATAAATTTAGCTTCCTTGATTTCAGTAAACATGTTGAAAATAATTTGACTTATAAGTACTAATGGAAGGATCGTACATATTTTCCACATTACCCTTATTTAACGTCTCAAGGCAGGTTTCCATATCATCATCATCATCATCATCATCATCATCATCATCATCATCATCATCATAAAGATCATTTATTAAGGGGTGATTATCACAATCACCGTAGAGGGATAGATTTCATTAATAAGTTCGTGAGCTTTCATATTTTAATTTGGTCATTATATAGATTTGAGGGGTGAGTTTACAGTTTGGGGCTTAAATAGGGGAAGATAGAGGCAATGGGATGCTAGGGCTTCGTGGTTCTAAATATATTTCAATTCTGATTGATAGTTTCTCCTTGCTTTCTCATCCTTTTCATGTATATCTTATTTGTGAAATATTTTTCGTTGTGCATAGTTTGTATTTTCGTTTGGATAGTTTCTCTCTTTCTCTTTTAGGAGAATAAGATATTATCCTGTTTTTAAGAATGATATATTTAAGTTAGGGTTAAGATAGAGTTAGAGTTCTACTCCCTCAATCCATTTCTACATATACAACGGAAAATAATTGTATCACACAATTAAAAAAAATTAGTTAACTATAAAAATTATGTTTGAAAAAAAAAAAATGGACTAAAATACCATGTATTTAATCAAAACAAGGCAACATTAATTATTTATCAGGAATGATCAAAATTATGAGTTTATGAGGGGTGATTTAGAAAAACTGTAATAAATACTTATTGAGATATATATGCAATTTTCTTATGAAAAACAAAACAATAAGTGATAATTTCTCTTGTATATAGAAACAGAGGGAGTATAACTACAATTTATTCATTTGCCTGATCTTTGATTAATTGAATAAAGATTTCTGAATTTTTCTATGCATCTCCTTAATTCTCTCCCCTTCTCCCTCCTTTCTCTTCTCTCTCCCCTTCCTCCTTCCTCTTCACATCAGCCCTAATGCCAAAGTACTATTGTAGAACAAAGGAGGGAAAATGGGTTTGGATTTTTCCCCATTGTTTTTTCCCTTTATTATTTCTCCACTGCAAATCAGAACCGTTTTAAATTAAATATGTACTTTAAAAATTACTGAATCTAAATCATCAAATTTAATTTAACCGTTTAGATTTGTAGTGATTCCTTCTCTATGAAGGAGGAAAGCTAACTCCAGGAAAATGTGTGGGTTGGGGGGGGGGGAGAGTGAGTTGAGGAGGGAGAACAAGAAGGAAAAAAAGGGATATAGTATGCACTACTCAAGCAAAAATCAAACATTTTGTTCAATTCATCAAAAGGCCTAACAAGATAAGAAGGAAAAAAAAAACTAGTCTCATTTATGGAGGGCTAATCATAATTCAAAAATATAAAGTAGCCTAAGCAAATTGTAATCATTAAATAAAAAATTTGATCTACTAATTTAAAAGATTGAATTTATTCAAAAGAAATCTCCATCCAAATCTAGTTCAAAAACAATCCTATTAAAACAAGAGACTAAATATTGTTGATCCTATATTCCATTACATAGTCTCGCCATTGACTAGGTTTAAAGTACTAATAACTCAGACCTCCTTAAGAAAAGTTTTTGTATGGAGCAAGTACACCACATTATTGATGCTTTGTGCAATAAAATTGCACTAGTTTAATCAAATAAAATCTAATATGTCATTATTTTTAATAATATTATTTTTCGAATAGAGTGCCTCTTTATTTTTTGTCTTGTCTCTCTCTATTATTATTAATAGTAGAATCAACTTATATTTACAAGTATCTAATATGGCATGTTTTTATTGGACAAAGTATGAATGACATGGTGTATCAAGTCTATACAAGAATTGTCCCCACGTTCCATTATATTGTTCATATGCACTCCACAATCAGTAAAATCCTTATATCATTTTTTAAGACCAACTTAACATACGCCGTATATAGTTATTTATATGTATGTATGTATGTGAATGCATGCATAAATGCGTTTTAATGTTCTCTTGCTTGTTTGTGCATATCTATGAATTTCTCCATGTAAAAGTTCATCACGGAGTGCGGTTCAGTTCAGCCAGAAGATTTGAAATCTTTCATTTATAATGTTACATATATACTATTTCATGCACAGCTTTTTAAAGTTTTATTTAGAGTCGAAGCTAAAAGCTAGCTTTTATTAGCTCCCATTATTAAGTACTGTGACCCACAGTCAAAAGAACTGAGGTGGGGGAAAAAAAAACAGGAGGGAAACAAGAATTAATTAAAGATCATCATCAGCTAGCAGAAGGAGGAGTTTCTGATATTTCTACCACGCCCTGTATATATATATATATATATATCAAATCTATAGGGAAGCATGTAAGAGAAGAAAAAATAGCCAGACATACAATCTAAATCATATCAATTTGCAAGCTTGCAGATACTGATCTTTTCACCCACTCTCTCTCTCAATACACACACCCGCACACACAAGTGAGAAGATATAAGAAAACATGTTAATTTCTTCTAGGACCAACAACAACTTCACAGCATTGGACAGAATATCATCACATTTTATCTTTGGCAGAAAAAGAACCCAGAAAAGAAGAAGATCTAAAGGCATATTTCTCAGATCAACGAAGAGATCAGAAGCACAGTGAAAATTATATAAATGATGTAATAGCTTCTGATAATGCAAAGAAAAGAGTGAAAAAGATATTAAACTGGTTGTGAACTCAATAAGAAGTAAGGAACCTGGAGCTTCCATATTCATAGAGCTTGCCAGAGCTGGAGAAGACGATAACTCCAACTTGTGCGTCGCAGAGGATCGAAAGCTCCCTAGCTTTCTTGAGCAATCCACTTTTTCTCTTTGAGAAAGTCACTTGCCTGCTCGTTGAATTGTCAATCCTCTTAATCGCAATCCTTGCTCTCCCCATCTCTCTGTGGCTTCTCGGATCAGCAGCCACACAAAAATCAGCAATAAAGCAGAAACTATTCATCAATGGAACTCTTAAACAAAACCATACATATTACTAAAAGATCAATAAAATAAAAACATATACATGCTAGAGAAGCTTAAACTTACAGAATAATTGCAGGAGTAAGAAGACGATGACGAAGAAGATCGAAGAAGAAGGCAGGCTTATTTGGGCGAAGGTCGTGACTAGAGAGGCTTTTGAGGATTGATGTGCTTTGAATACTTTATTCTTGTCAAGCGGTTTTGTTTCGTCTGTCTCGATTCTTATCATTTTGGGGTTATAAATTTTTTTTGGACAATGAAAAACCGCTAGTGGTTTTCTTGCTAAGAATTGGCCTAAACGTTCGAGGGTTCCTTGGGAAGACTGATGGCAAGGGACAGATGTCGATCAGGAAGAGCGAGTGATTGTCGCGTGAAGTATCTGCGAGTAATATTCTCTTTTAAAAAAAATTCTCATTTAATAACTGACCGGCAATTTTAAATTTAAAAAAATTAATCATTTGATCTTTATAGTTTTGACACAATTGCAACTCAGTCTCTCAATTTTGACTCATTATAATTCAGTTTTTGAAGTTTTCATTAGGTTGTTAATCAGTCTTTGAAATTTGCCTCTTGCAATTTAGCCATTGAAGTTTTAATTTTTTAAATATTGATCCCTATCTTTTAAAAAATTATAAAAATTAAAAATATTTAAAAATTTATTACTAATATTTTAAATTATTAAACCCTTTTAATCTTTATAAATATTATAAATATTAAAAGTTTTAACCTTTATAATTTTATTTTTTAAAATATAGGAACTAACATTTAAGAGGTTAAAACTTCAGAGACTAAATTACAAGAGACAAAGTTTAGGGATTAATTTATAATTGAGTCAAAACTTCAGGGACTAAGTTATAACGAGTCAAAGTTGGGGGGATTGAGTTGCAATTGAGTCAAAACTACAAGAACCAAATGATTAATTTTCCTATTAAATTTTTAATAACCCATTTCATTAATAAATACACTTTTCAATAATGAGTAGGGACAAAAATTGGAAAATTAGTGAAAAGGACCTTGTTGAAAGGAAAATTAGTCCTACGGACCAAATACAATTTAAGGACCAAAGGCAATATTTTATTCATTAAAAAATATGTACAAATGATCAAAATCCCCCTCTCTTTAAACTAATGAAATTGAAAAAAAAGCTACCTATTCAAAACATGCACTCCAAACCAGAAGCCTTGCACCACAAGCTAGAAGCTTTGCACCCAACCTAGAAGTCTTGCACCCCCAGCCAGAAGCCTTGCACCCCAGCCAGAAGCCTTACACCCAACCTAGAAGCCTTGTACCCGGCCAGAAGCTTTGCACCTAAGTCAGAAGCTTTGCATCCCCAACCACAATCCTTACATCCCAAGCCAGAAGCCTTGCACCTCAAGCTAGAAACCTTATACCCTTGCACCCTTAGCCAGAAGCCTTATACCTCTAGCAAAAGCCTTACACCTGACCTAGAATAGAAATTATGCCCAAGGATCAAATCAAATTTAAGGACCAAGCCAAATATTTTATTTATAAAGCAATTAGTTTAAATGACCGAAATGGCCCAATGCCTTTAGCTTAGATATTTCCTCACTGCTTATCATGTTGATGGATGATGTCAGAAATCCATTCTTGCTCTTGACCGGTCCACCTTCCATCGTCACTCCTTCCCTTGAAGTTGCCTCTTGCCTTCCTCGCCTTTTGCCTTTGCTCCTTCTTTCACTATCGCTACTCTTTCTCATGCTATCCATTATTCAATCTATACTTGCCATTTCACTCTTTGAATGCCAGATCTACTTATGCTTGGCATTCAAAATTCTGCTACTGCCATTTTGATGCTTCATCCTGCTGTAATTGTTGTCCAAAATTGATACTTTTGATTTGATGCCAATGTTGATACCTAGTATTGTTATTTTTTTACATTTAATTCTCATAGAATGCAATTACTTCATATGGACAAATGCATCATTTTCCATATCTTCCTTTTCAAACATCACTTCTAATAGCAACACAGTTCTATGTATTAATAACCTCCATTTTGTTTTGGAGTGAGGAGTCTCATGTGGTTGGTTTTTATTCCATTTTATCTAGTTTAAGGATTTTGTTTAATATTTTCCTTACTTTTGATCCTTAGGTTGGTTAACAAATGACAAAAGCATTAGAATTCAAAGGTTAATGTAGAGTTGCTCAATAAAAGTAATAACTTCCTTTTTATTTTGTTTTGGGGGGTATATTTCTCATAGGTATGCAATAGAGCATAGATGTGGTGTGGTTGTCAAAGGACCAAATTTGAGTAGAAACATAATAGTAATTGACCCATTAAAGGACCACCACCTACTTTTGAAAGTAGAAGCTTTAGATGATTCTTAAGAAACAAGCCATACTATAGTTGTTGTTAATGAGGTGTCCAAGGAAATAACTAAGATTCTAGTTTCACATCTTGTGAATGCTAAACATATTGCAAAGGGAAGAACATAGCTAATTTAGTCTTTTTAACAGGTTGTGCTATTCAAATTGAAGTCTATTATTTGAAATTTTATCATATTTTGTTCATTTAGTTACCAAACATGAAAGTACTGCTTAATGAAACCAAAATCTGCAATGTGATCCATTTGCATAGTCTGCTACCTTAGAGGAAGTCACGTAAAGTGAATTATTTTTAGGAAATACTTAATAGTATTTAAGACTTGAAAATAATTATGGTGTTGGCTATTCTGGTTGAACTATAGTTGTTGTTCTATACTTTGAAATTATGTTTTTCTATGCTTTTGATTACAAACTTGGTAAAATAATTGGATATTAAAACACATGGTGTTTCATCCCAAATAAAAAAATAGATGTAACATATCCGGAATTGCAATATAATTTATGGATGCTAATGTGCTCATTTACATGTCTTATATATGCATCTATTTTAAATTTCTTTTTATATGTTACTCCATTGGTAAACAGACATGGCTTGTGGCCATGCATGGTAGCTTTAACAAAAATAATTGTTGGCCTAGGCTTATCACTTCCAATTGATATTCTTGAAGCTCTTGGAGCAACTAGAGATTATCGAATGCTGCTAATTTCAAAAGCAAAAGCAATAGCCAAGGCACTCTTAGCTCTGCTGTAGTCTTGCCATCAAGTTTTTGTACCCAAAGAGGATAAACATAAGCAAGCCGATTAAAGGGATATGACTTTGGATTTCTACATATCAAGGTCAAAATTTTATTAGTTTTTGTTTCATTCAATTTGCTTACTTCTAAGTACTTTTCTTTTACACTTCATATCAGCATGAAAATCTCACCATATGTAAAGATGATTTCCCTTTCATTGTTAGCTTTTTCCCAAAATGAGAAGCTAAATTGTGATTATATAGGACTAACATCACAATCTTATGCATGTACTTTAGAAAAATGCTTATGCTTATTGGTTCTACTGCATGTTACTCTTGGAGATTAAAAGCAAAAGATGAATATAAAATGTAGAAGTATGTGCATATGTGTGTAGAAGTGCCATTTTCTATTCATCATGTGTTCATTTTATTTTTGATAAACATAAAATTGAGCTTGGGCTTAATTTTAAATATGTGTTTGATGTGCTTTGATTTCCCCTCATCTTTCCATTCGTTTTCAAATATACGTGTCATGTGGATGTTTAAGTATGTTTCATGTTTAGTAATTCTATGGGTATTGTGTGTTAATGCTTGAATGACCTACTTGTGATGGATATTGACTTTCATTTCAGGCATAATGTTTTTAGTGCTCCGAAGCATAAGGTTTTGTTTAAAGAGGATAAAAAAATAAGTTCAAGTTAATAAGCTTTTACATGCATATCATAAATTAAGTGAGCTACAAGGAAATACTAATCAAGGGATTTCCCTGAAAGATTGAATAAAATTGTGATTGTACTTTAAAGTGTACTTCTGACCATCCTTGTTATTTGTTTTTTTTCTTGTAGAAGGTATGATGTAGTTTAACATGGATATGATATTGTTTTTAACCTCGGCCCCTATGGTATATTTTTTAATATGGGGTGCCCTACGGTCTTTATTTATTATTTTAATTGTACTTGATAGAAAGATAAACCAAATCTAATGGAATTAATGTTCTTTTATTGAAATTGTTGTTCATTCTCACTCTTCACATTTACTTGTTTTTTTGGGACAATTCAATTGTCCTCCTTCTTACTTTGTTCATATGGCTTGCTATACAATAGATACTAATTAAAAAGAAAGAACTTATTGTGAATGTTCCCTTATTGTTTTGTTTTTTTATAGAGTAGGATGTAGTTTAACATGGGTATTATAAAACTTCCAATTCTTAAACACATAATTAGTACATACTTAACCTTAAGGTAGAGCTATCGTGATATTTATAACTAATTTAATAATAAAATATGTCATGAAAAGAAAAGGATCAACCTTGACTATATAAAAACTCAAAGAGGCTAAGTAAAAAAATCCCATAGAGATGAGATCCCATAAATAATTAAATATCAAATTAAGGTCATTTAGCCATTATAAATTAGAGTAAAAACTGATTGGGAAGCATAAAAATAATTAGAGTTGAAAACAAGTCAAAATGAGGTAAAAAGGGTCATTTTTTTCTTAACAGGAGTACTTGGCTATGAGCAAAGAACATTAAGCCACTGCTAACACTTCTAATGAAGCTTTAGCTATAGTCAATTCTCTTTTGGTTGCAGCAAAATGGCCTCGAGAACTCCATTGGCTACAACCAAAAATCTATAAGCCATGGCCAAAGATGTCATGACAATAACTATCATAACAGTTACCCAATCATGAACTTCCGATGCATATAACTTTTGACTTAGATATTTGATTGAGGTGATTCAAGCGCCTATATGTCAAAAATTTTATAATCTAGCTAATGATTTTAGTTTTATGTCAATATGGCATCAAACGAAGAATTTAAAAACTCGGGGACCACAATTTGACATTTTTGCCTCTAAAATGAACAACCAAGTGTTCAAATCTCACACCATAAGCCATTATCTTTCATAAGGGCTTAAACTATACTCAATAAGTTCTAATACACTTGTCTTAATAGTCACAAGTATCAAACAACTCCTGATATAAGAATTGACCACCTAACCACCATAAAGCACATAACGAGGGGTAAAAATGTAATTATTTGCATTCAAACTACATAATCAC